GCTTGTTGTGACCAGGGTGAAACAACACCAATTAAGAATGTGTTTTATGGCACATTGTGGCCTCTTTGACTGTGTGAATAAATCTGGGTTGTAAATAAAACCGAATGAAATTAGGGAACCTTTGGGAGCAGAACCGCAACGAACAAGAACTTTTAAGGTGCATTTCTATGAGTTATTGGAAGGATTATGTGCGAATATGCAGATATTTTATAGTTTGGCAGAAATTCCACGTTGAAGCATGAGCTTCCAGGTGTGAAAATGACCTTAAACCTTGGTGATCAGCTTTGTGTATTATGCAGGTGCGTATGCATATAACCCATCAGTGTTTCGTGACAGGGGTCAGCCTTTTATAATCCCAGCCGAATACGTTCACATACTCGAAACCACTAAACATTTCCTGGAGAAACAGGATTTAGCTGGCTTTAGATCTTTATGCAGTTAAACAACAAAAGTACAGACGTATTTGATTGCATCCATGTTATTAATATCACAAAACATGGTAACTTTTTTATTTTTTTATTTGATCATTTTAAAAGGTGACATGTTTCCTGGAGAGTAAATTGCCCTGATCCGGAGCTATAGCTTTATTACTGTCAGTGTTATCCTATTAATCAGTAATCTGAACTTGTAGTAATTAGTATTATTGTTATCTTAAGACAATGCCCCAGGTATTGGCGCCCATGATGACAACATGTCAAGGAAGAACAATGAACCAGTTTTGCCTGTTCTCTGCTGCAGAATGCTGTGTAGCTGCATGATTATAAACCTGCAGAGCACAATCTTTGCAGAAAAAGTCTCTGGCTTTTAGTTCTCAATCAACAGGGATTACACACATGTGACTGAGTTGATTGCTTAGGAGTTTAGATCCTTTCCACCTCCTTTGGTAGCTGGTTTGAGTGAGCAAGATTTTTTTTTTTTTATCCCATCCTAATTCTGTTGCGTTCTTCAATATGCCATGTTGTACATGGTTAATGTTAATTGTTCTGTATATGTCACAAAGATAGCAATGATGCATGTAAAATGAAGACGTGCTCAAAATATTGTATCAATATTGATGGTGCCTTGCGAGGCTACAGATGAAAAATAACCTTTATAATTAACAGTGACACATTTTTAATGTGCAATGTCCCTTTTGAAATACATAAACAACAATAAGTAAGCATAATCTGTCATAAGACTTTTTTTTTTTTTTTTTAATCAAATTTCAATACCCTTACAAGATCAGAAAACTGGTGCAAATTCCTGGTCAAGACCACACACAGTTCAGTAAAAATGTTGTAATTACAGAGTTCATCTTTAAAACCAGTCTTTATAGGTTTTGCAGCTCCAGCACAAGATAAACTCAATTAAAAAGCTGCTCTTGTCACCTAGAGCGAGTATAACTATCTTTTTTTTTTTTTTTCAGTGTCTCCTACTTGACATATGGATCATGTTTTGCTCCTGTTGACTTTTATCCTTATACCAATCAGTTTGTTGAACTGCTAACTTAATTATTTTTAGTTTTCTTTGATATGTCTTGCCTGGAATACAGTTTTGCAAGTGGCACACATAAAGATTTCCAGGCAATTAACAATTTCTAAAAAAAAAAAAAAAAAAAAAAGGGCTGGGGGGGAAGATGAACCAAATTGACAGGCAGTAGACCAGTAAGAGCGATTGATGAGTTTGCGGGTGTCTGAGATTGGATTGAGACATCCTTATAGTTTACATGCCTGAATGTCTGCTAATGTCAGGTTTCCTCTGGACATGAGAATTAACAAGAAGTATTTTTACTTTGTAACTCACTTTCATATTGTAAAAAAAATCAATAACGTATGTATGAATAAATGTAAAAATGTCTTACGTTGTTTTTGAACAAGTGTGAAAAAATTAACTTTTGCTCTGCCAGCACTTTTGCTTTCCTTAGCTCTTTTTTTTTAGTGATTTAATACTCACAATATAGATAATCACTGTGTTACTTACTTACTTTCTGGGAGTAACTTGCGCACATAACAAATGTAATGAGGTCACATCACGTATATTCTCTCTGTGTATGGTTTTTAGTACAATTTTCTGTAATAAAGACCCTCTTATGTTTTTAGAGTTTATCTTTAAGTCATAGTAAAAACAAATCAATTAGAAATGAAAGATTAGACACATTTGTCAAAAAAAAATATGCCAAGTAGAAGCAAAGTTCTTCTAGGTATACTTGTTTTTGTGTGTGTGTGTGGTTTTTTTTTTGGGTTTTTTTTTCATAAAGTCAACCATCAGAGTCAACACTACAGAGAAATTCTTACCTGCTTTTAGCAGCGATTCAATGGAGTGTTCCTGGAATGCACACCTTGAGCGAGCCTTTTCTAAATGGCTATAGATCAAAGTCAGGCTCTCTGTTTGTCCATTATCTGTGTTTGAGCAACTGTGACTTGTGTGTCAGAGAAAGTTGTCACTCTGCCTTCTGCCACTCCTGTCCCAGTCTTTGTGTTGTGTGTCCTTTTGTCTGTGTGTGTGTGTGTGTGTGTGTGTGTGTGTGTGTGTGCGTGTGTGCGTGTGTGTGTGTGTGTGTGTTTGGCCTGGCTCCCACTGCAGATTATTAATTAAGTTCTGGTAAGCGGTGCATGCCTTGCCTTCAGATCTACTTCCACTCTCTTTAACACGCACACACATCCACAAGGTATCTGTACACACACTCATACTTCAAAGCAGCTGCACTCCACACCGCTAGGATTAAGAGGCGATTGAAGAGCCTGATACAGCCTCAAAGTGCCTTCAGCATAAAAATGCCTTTGGCAGGGCACAGGTAGACTCTTTGAAAATTCTTACAGACTCGCACACATATGGCTGGGCTTTTAATTTAGCTTTGTTTTTCGCAGTCCAGCGGGGCCTTTTTTTTTTTTTTTTAATTTTCCTCACATGTTCCATCTACATCTCAGTCTACTTTCAGCCATTTTTTAATGTGTATTTCATGGCTCGGCTCTTTAATGCTTGATGTTGTACAGTGCTTTCTGCTGCCTTCCCCTGGGTGACTGTAAGTAAAGGGAATAATCTAGTAGCCGCCTCTTTATGTTTTTATGAAACATCTGAGACTGTTTGCGTGTCAGTATGGCAGTGTGTCTGTGAATGCATTTAGATGTGAAGCCAAGTCATTTACAGTACAGCAAACATCTCATTAATTCACAACCAACTGCGGTGATGGTGAGGTATAACTTTGACTCCTCAACCACTATTTATGTCTCATCTTTCGCTGTAATCGAGGCAGCAGAGCTACTGTCTGAGCGAAACGGTTAAGAAATATTGTCCCTTGCCAAATTGCCGTACAAACTGACGACCCTGATTTTTATTCAGTGAAGCTGTGGTGCTGCCACAGTCAAAGGAGACAACAAATGCATCAGATGTAAGGAATAAGAGCCCCATTTGCACCTCCCCTTTCCCACATGCACAGTTCCTTTTCTCCTCTTTTCTACACCCTTCTTTGTCCTCCGCGCTCTCATCAGGTGCTGCAGGGCCCCTGGGGACAAGCGGGGCCGCCACTCAAAGAATCCTGGCGCGGGAAGACAGGTCCGTGTCCTTGGTGACGGCTCTGTGTATCCGTGGTGACAGGTGTGTCCGTTCAGAGCGGACGGCGGTGTTTGTCAGGAAGTGTTTGGATTGGGTGCAGAGGCCGAACGCAGCTTAGGTGTTGATGGCTGTGAGGGGTGTGTTCAAAGGAGCAGTGTTTGCTCATGAATTGTCTGTCAGGGACTCTCAGGATATGACAAAGAGTGTTTGTCTTAAAATTGAAAGAAGCCCTAAATTATTAGTGATTTAAAGAAATGTTATAGCTTTTTTTATATATATATAATTTAACAAATAAATCAAAAGATGTATTTGCCTTTGTTTTTCAATGCTGATAATAAGCCATTTTATTACACATCTTGCTGGTATAAACAAGCCTTTGATGGCACACCATCTATGGGCATAACATATTATCAATGTAAAAATTGGATTGTTTCTCTAACAACAAAGGAATATATCAGATCAGTATATGGCCTTTATTAGAAACATAGAAAATGGACAGAGTGAGTACTCTTACCGCAAACATCCCATTGTGCAAAAAACATTGGAGTCACTTTTGAAGGTCATGGATTTTACGTTTTATGACTGACCTGTCTTTACAAAACTATTGTTCACGGATTGTATTATTATATTAAATCAATAACTCCTCAGTGACCGACATTCTGCACTTTATGAACTCAAGTTCAAACTGAAGATTTTCCTATATTTTGTTTCTTCTTGCTTTGCTCTTTGTTACACATAGATGCTTTAATTTAGAGGTCCAAACATAACGTTACTTTTCTACTTTCCCATCTGCCTTGTTTGCTTCATGCTTTTTTTTTTTTTTTTTCTTTTCTTGATTTTGGACATTGAAATCTGTACTCTTAACATGAACTACAAAATATAACTGCAAAGGAAATGGGACAATAATGATGTCTGCCCCTTTAAATAAGAGTTAGATATCTCAATTATACAATGATGCACCTTCTTTTCTTAGATCATTGTAAACTACTTGATGGTTGGCAGAAGATCAGCACTCGGTTGACATCAATTCACTGTGTTGAGTCCTGAAGCTTTTCTCGATCATCCCTTTCTTTTTTCCTCTCAGTGGTTAATTGGCAGCAACATTTAATTCACCCTTCCAACACCCCCTTTCTTGTTAAGTGATGGATTGTTGGTCGGAGATCAAAAGGGACTGGTGCCCTCTGGGCACCATGACCGTCACTACCTTCTGGCACGCATAGGCGTTAAGGCTGGAGCGCTGCCAAGGGGCCACAGGGACACACTGCCAACAGACAGAGGTCAACACTAGTGTGTGTGTGTGTGTGTGTGTGTATGTGAGAGAGAGGTTTGGTTGGGAGGGTGATGTGCCTCTGTGCACTTCCTAACAGAAGATTGAATTTCACCTCTCAGTTGTGCCTCTTTGTGTCCCTCCATCCACCTGTCTGCATATCTCTTTCTCACACCCGTCTCTCTCTTCTTTCTTGTTGCAGACCAACAGCAGGTTGAAGCAGATTGAGAAGGAGTACAATCAGAAGCTTGCCAAGTCTGCCCAGGTAATCAGTTTCTTTTCTCCCGCCTTATTCTGCCCCTTCTTTCATTTAATATTTCCCTTTTCCACCCAACTTTGTCACAGAACTCACTGATGGGAGGGGAGGGGGGAAGGATTTTTTTACCTGCAGCATTTGCCCCTCTGGCCTCAAGGAAAAGCAAAATGTTCAAAAGTAAAAATAAAAATTAAAAAAAATCCACATACCTACAAAAGTAACTTAAATTATAGCAAATTTTCATTAAGGAATTTAGGTATAAAACTGAGATATTTTTTTCATAAATTAATTATTCGTACTACTGGGTAAATAAATTGTTGGTTTTCAGTTTCAGTTTATACAAGCAGGGGGCAGACTATCAGAAATTCACATAATGGAGATGTTCTTAGTAAATATAGCACTGATCATATAAGCCCGATTTTCCTCACTCCTTTGTTTCTCATCTGTCATGACGACAGTTCATAGTCTCTCTGTGACCATTAGCATCTTGCACACTATTAACGCTGCTAGATTGAAGTGCAGTGAGGCCTCATCCAACGGGCTAAATATACTCTTGGCATGCAAAGAATGAATTCCTGACACTTAGAACAGCTAACAAATATTTCTCTGCAGACATTCCTTTCTGGCATTGTTACTGCCTAGACCTAAACAGTGATGATGATGTATTCAAATATTCTTCCAAATTACTTTATTTAAAGTAGCCCCACTTCAGGATACCTTGAAATTCAACACAATGTTTCAGGATATAATTTAACTTTATTTGCAAGTGAGTGTTTACTCCTGGGAGATTCATCAGAACAAGTTCAGCCCATTTGTTCTCCCACGCTGTTAGCTAAGACGGGGTTTTTGGTGTAGCTCACTTGATGATGGAGACGCTTTTATCCTAAATAGCTCTGATTGTGATTGTAGTTCATTTTTGTGTCCGGGAAATTACTCATTCATCGAGATGCTCATTTCTAAGTTTTATGCGTTATCTGATCTGCAATGCTATTTTCTGACCACCAGAAGGCAATCTCACAGAATCAAAATTTGATTTGACCAATTTAGCATCAGATCAGACCTCGTATCCATTCAGTTCATTCAGTTGCTATTTGACCAGTTGTGAGGTCAGATAAAAGGTTTCTGCTCTTTTTGTCTAGCATAATCAAAAGGCAAACAATAATGGATAAACTTACTGAATGGAAAAGACTGTGCACAAAAAAACGCATATGGGTTGAACTTTTTTACAGGGGACAATGAGGACATCGATGTCATCGTGTGGTTAGCATTGCTAGCTAGCATGACATCAATTTCCATGTGGATGCCCTCAAGAATCTAGATTACCAGCTCAACTGAGATGAAAATATAGGAATTACGTTTTTTTTTATAAAAAAAAAAAAAAACAAGCTACTTACAGTTTTTTGTGTTTCTGTTATTTTTAAATACCTTGCTGAGACAAAAAAAAAAATTCTTCTTTCTGCAGTAACACCCACTCTGCCAGTCAGGGCAGATGAAGTTGAAAATCACCAGTTGATGATTCTGAACTTCTCCAGGTGTAAAAGATTTATGCATCCCAGTTTGTCACGTAGTGCTTTGTGTGTTGGTGAAAGAAAGCAGTAGAAAAACTGTATCCAAAACTCAGAAAATCTTGACCATTTGAATGCTTTACTACCTTGAACCTCTGCTATTATCAAAACCACATTGGAGAAAACAAGAGCGGCCCAGTTCTCCACGTTCTAGCCCAGGGCTACGGTGGCTCAGGTTGCTGCAGCCGCCTTATCCCTGCAACATTTTGCAGTGTTTCGTTTATTTCGGCAGAGCCTCCATGCTCGATCACACCAAACATCTGTTTAAGTCTTTTTCTCTCTTTCTTATATTTTTATCGTGTTCCTTGTCCTCTGATCCCCGTTTACTGCATCTCCTTCACCTTTATTCCCCTCCCGTCGACTTGAACCTGCACTTGTTTTTCGGAGCCATGTGTTTGCCATTAGGACATGTCACCTCAGCCCATTTAAATCCGGGGTAATTCTTCTCTCCAAGCAGAACTATTGCTTCCTTTAAAAATGTTCCATTCAGCAAAAATGCTTTGGGAAGTTCAAGCACTTTTCCCTTCACCGGCTTAAAGATCTAAAACACCATTAAGTACTGTTTACACAACAGTATGTTGATTATGTCGAGCTAAAATATTACAATCATTTGACCATAATTGCACCTTGTTCCTCAAAGAGAGTACTCAAAAGTGGTGGGGGTTGGTTGTTTTTCTTTCTTGCCACCTGTAAATCCCCCCTCTATTCCCCTACCTGCACACGCAAACACACACACACACACACACATTTTGGGTTAGCTGGCAAAAGCTCCAAGTTGAAAGCCAGGTTGACAAGCAGATGTTGTGAAAGAACGGTAGCTTATTAAGTTACACAATGCTCGACTTCAAAAGAAGTCGGATGCTGTGTGAAAGTTCAGTCATGTTTGGCCGCTTCGGTGACGAAGTGTGCCACCGCAGACGAGCATTAAGTGATTAATCCTCTGTTTTGGGAGCAAAAAAGCTGGCACATGTTTAACAAACACACTGTGATATTAAAGAAGAGTCTTT